TAATGGAAACTCCATGTGGTAGAGTTAGGATAGGCTGTAGAGGAGGTCTTTGATTCAACAGTGATGGATTTAATTTATGCTAACAGATTCTAAAATACTAGTTTAATACAAGAAGTTCTACACTCAATCAGATTAGGCATGTTAGAGCACCTGGCCCAAATTTACCTGCAAGAGGAAGTAGTTCTCTAGCTCAAAGGATAGCAGTCTTAAATTATAGATCAGGCTTAACCTGCCTGTTTTTTATTATTGTTAAACTAAGAGTAGTGTTTGTTCATTTACATTGTAAAGAAAAATATTTCGTGACCATAAATAAAAGTTTATTAAATGCTTGTTAAAAAAAAATAAAAAATAAAACATGCAGCCCCTTCTTAAACATCTCCTCATCCAAGTATCCAAGTTCATCCCTTACAAGTTCTACCTGCCACTACTCATGAACATAATCCTGACAAGTTCTTTGCCACTGCATTAAAAGATAAACCTGTCTCTCTTGTCCAACCACATGTTCATCATTTTCTTTTAAAGTCTCCCCAGAAGCGCACTTAACATTTGTATTTACAGCAACGTGCCGTATGTATCCTCTAGGACAATACACATTTTTCTCCTACTGCCCTCATTTCCTTCTGAGCTCTCCCAAAAATTGTCTTTGACATCCATAATTTCATCATCAGTTTTTTCAAAGCAATTTAGGCTTTTATAATTAGATACCTTAAAACTCTTCCAGTCTTTACCTGTTAACAAATTCAAAAACCAGTTTTACATTGTAGGTTTCTGTTATTTCAGGATTTCACTCCCAGTATCAAATTCTGCCTTAGTTCTTACAGTGCTGTCACAGAAATCTCACAAGTGACTGATTTCAATAAACAAATACATTTTCTTGACATTTGCTGTTAATTGGCTCAGTTTCAATGAATAACAATCCTGTTGCCCTCTGTTCTGCACCATACTACACAATTACTGTTATGTGTTAGTCAACTCTTCATCCATCACTTGAGAGTCTTCCTCTCTTCGTTGGCCCTCTGTTTTGCCTATTTC